TGGAGCAGGGGGATGAGATGGCAGCAGGATCAAAAGGGGAAGAGTTCACACACAGGACATTTCTGTGCTGATAGCACAAGTTTTGTATTATGTTGAATCTTTATTATCTGTGTTTACCGTCCTGTTAGAATTTATATATATATATATATATGTATTAAATATCTGTTATTATGTATATTATTATTATTGCAGTTCCACACCTTTAGTTCTGGCACTGTGAGAGCCAGGTAGGAGCTCTCAGTCCAGCTTCTGTTTAGATGCCTTTTGTTTCATTCTCTTCCCATTGTTGAGGAGCAGGAAGGGTCAAACAGGACTTCCTAAGAACCCATCTGCAAGAAGTCCTGTCATTAATATGGACTGCAAATGCCTGGAGGATGAAATTTTTATTTGCTGACCATCAGTGGTAATTAACCCTTACCCTGGCACAGACTGGAGCTCTGTAAGCATCGATCAGGCCATAGCTTGATGTGCTGTATCAACCAGCCAGTTCCAAGCAGAGATTTCATCTACAAAGATGTGGAATTTTCCATGGCTTGCAGGACAAGGTAACACCTTCTCTCTTAAGAATGGTGAGTGAGGCTGAGGAGTTTTGAGAACCAATTGGGCACAGAAAATCCATTTCTCAGGGAAGTGGAGCGCTTCCTCCTGGCCTGGCCTCTCTTTATTTGATCATCTCCTTCCTCAATTCTTCAGTGATTCCAACCTATCAGATCAGAAGCATCATGAGTCTCTTATGGGTTTGTTTCTTACAGAGATTTAACAGCTTAGAGCTTTGTTTGTTTGTTTGTTTGTTTTTAATTTATTTTGGGGTGGCTTTTTTTTTTTTTTAATTTTGTTTTGTTTTTACTTTGTTTTGTTTTATTTGTAAGATTAATGGTGGTGTTTTATTTCCATGGAGATGGTTAAAGTTTTAGTATTGTTTTTGTCAAGTCAGTAGTTCTGAGTAATTTTGATGGCTTATTTATACAAGAAGTTAGTTTATATACTCCAGCTTGTACTTATTCTGGCTGCTTCTCTTAAATCCATGTAAAGTAGCAAAGCAGAAAGAGGAAAAAAGCAAAGCACAGTAGAGGAAAAACTGGAAAAACAAAGCTCTGGGTAGAATCTCAGTGCTGGTTGAAGCAGATCAAGCTGCAGTGCTGCTGCAGGAGATGGTCTCACCCTGCACTGCCCATGTACTCTTACCCTTTGCTTGCAGATAGTTTTATATCTGTTTGTGTTTAAAAGTCAAGTATTTAGTTAAAGACTGGTGAAGTGATCAGTAATCCCACGTGGGATTGTTCTCACGTGCTTGTGTAACGTGTTTCTCAAGAGCCAGATCCTGCAGGATGAAACTCCCCATAAAAATTGAGCAGAAGTTCTTTCAGTAGAGCTCCTGAGCGGTGGTGGTTCCTCCCCTTGCACAAGGGCATCGTCACTGCCTTTATTCCTTCTTTGCTTCATCTGAGGAGAGCAATTCTCTGTGGTTGCACTGAAAAGCTCAGCCAAGCTCAGAGCTTCTCCTTTCCCCTAATTTGACCCCAACTACAGAAAGTTGCCTGAAGTTCTTGCTTTTCTCATCGACTGAAGCGAGCAGGTCCTAACAGGACTCTTGAATTTCACCAACTGCCTTATTCTGGGTTGGCTCCATCTTATCATGTGTAAGCCTGTTATTGGCCTCCAAGCTGCAAGTGCAGTATCCCCAAGCAGAGGTATTTGGGAAAGGTGCTCATAAAAGAGCTGTCTTGAAGTTCCAGTTGACCAAAATGGCTTTTCACGGGAAGATGTTTTGATAAAGTTTTAACTGGGAATGGTTTCTCCCAGACAACTCATCCCACAGCAAAGGAAATTTCCTGAGAAGTGTGAATTTCCTGAGGATTTGGGTCAGGATCCCTTTGCTGAAGTGATGCTGTGGAATTAAACAAGAGCTGTCCATGCACAGGGGGTTTGGCTCTGATCCACAGAGGTGGTTTCCATTGTAAAGGCTTTTCCACTTGCAGTGCAGAGAGAGATTATGGCTTTGAGGTGAACATCTTCCCCTGAATTATTACTTATGAGGACTTTTTTGGTTTCTTTCAGAAAGTCAGTTTAATCCTGAAGGATTTGTGATTAAACCCATTTGGTTTGTGGCAGTGACCAAGCAGGCACTGCTTTCCACCTTTCCTTCCTCAGCCAGTTTTGATGGCTGGGAGAGGCTTGGGCATTCACTTTATTCTGGTTTTTTTCCTTTTTAATTTTGAAAGGTTTTGTGGGAAAGGGAAGCTGCCATGCAGCTCTGTCCCAGAGCATGCAGGAATGCTTTGCAGCAAATGTGGGATATGTAAAAGTGTCACCTGATGGTGTCCCCTTGTCCCCTGTTGAGGTAAAGACCAAGAAGGGAAGAGCTTGAGGGTCCTGGCCCCCCACCTCAGGTGAGACTCCTGGATCAGATACCTTGAACACAAGATCTTTGAATCAAAGAACAAGAACAAAGATGAAGAAATTCCATAGCAATTAACTTGTTGTGCAATATTTAAATTATTTTTAATCATAGTTTTACCTCAAATTATAATTTAAGATATATCATGTAATCACTAGTAATACAAAATGAAAATGGAAAGGGCATGTTCTTTCTTCTGAACATTCTCCATATAATAATCAGCTAATAACTCTGTCTGCTTTAATTCAACAAGTTCCACTCACTCAGTTTTTAAGTTGGCAGGCTGCTTTTTAATTCTTCTCTTCTAATTTGTTGTAACATGTATGAAATACATGGGTTAATTTGAGTAAATAAAGTCAAGTTAATCAAAGGAAATGATTACAGAAGGAACCCAAGAGGGGAGCTGGATATCATTCAGGAAGGCATTGTGTAGCTCTGCCAAATTAATTAAATACTACTGGTTAAAATCAAGAGTTAGTGATAAGAATCTTGTTGAATTTGAGCTCAAGTGACTTGTTTTAGTGGGTGAAACGATGACCCTCTTTTTATTTCCTGACATGTTGAGTATTCTCCTCCCTCCTATCCCTTTTAACTCCAAATTTCCGTGTGGATTTCCCGTACTGGGCCGAGCAGGAAAGTTCCGCTGCCTCTCATAATTCCTGGAGGTCACTGCTCCGTGGTGTCCCTGCACCCCTGGGAAGTGTCCCCACTCCCTCCAGAGCCACAATTAACTCACCAGAGCTCTCGGCTCAGCGCCAGGAAATCAACCCCAATTACTGGATTCCCCTTGTCACTAACGCCACTTCACGGCTCCCACTAATTTGAGGTGGCAAGTCCCAACTTCCCATAGCAAAATCACCATTTTTGGACCATTTTTCTGCTTATTCTGTCATTTCTGTCTCATATTCTGTTCTTTTGGCTCCACTAAATTGCCATTGTAAGGAGAGTTTCAGATTATCCTGGGAAATTCTTGTCTGAGTATTGCAGGGATACCATGGAAACAGAGGAGGTCTGGAGTTGTGCTTGGTTTTAATATAGTTTAACATAGATCAAAAGGGGGCAAGACCCAAAAAGATCATCTTCAGACTGATCAAAACTGTATCTGCATTTAAATGAAGGTTCTTGTTGGGGGATTAAGTCAGGGCTGCAAATTAAAATATCTTCAAAAATCCCAGCTTTTTCTTCTTCTCCATCACTTGGCTTATGGAACCTTTCAGGCTGTTGCATTTGCTGTCCTGGAACACTACCTGGTTCCAAACAAATACCTGCTTCTATATTTAAATAGTTAATTTCTTTTTTTTTTTTTTGGTTTCTCTTGAATCAGTTTTCTCAAACATTCCACAACCAAACTGAGGGAGTTACAGGCAATTGAGACAAGAACTGAGTTAATCTACATGACAGAATAATGCATTTCAAATGATTTCTCAGCTTTCAGTGTTGTAGTGCAGGTGGCAGAGGCACAGCCTGGCATTTTCCCATCCCAAGGATGGATCTGTAGTTGTTGGATGTGCTCTGGAGCACCTTGACTGGGATGAGAGCTCTAACAGGAAATATTTCCATGCTCTGAGCTTCTGAGATCCTGCCCAGCCAATCTGATCCAGCTTTTATCCGTGAGTATTCAGCTAATGTGATTATCTCTTCCTAAACTTGTTTCACTGCCATAATGAGTTCCTGGTTTGTCACCTATTAATAATCTGATATGGAGAATTAATGTGTTCCCCTGGATTTCTCCAAGCATTTGCTCCAGGGCCAGATCATTGGGTATTTTAATTCAGTGGTTGGTAGTGGTTTTGACAAGAAGATTGGTTATGTTGGGAGTTCATTGAAACACATTTGCTGATGGGTTTTTATAGTTGTAGCTTTGAGTTCTCAGGTAACATCCTTAGGATTAATACTTTGGTTTAATTCCAGCTGCAATAAATAAATTTTGTACTTTGATTATGACTTATAACTGTCATTAATGTAACTGCCATAACTACTGTAACTACCATGGATTTTCACACTGTCCTTAGCCAGAGTTGATGAATACCAAGGGCATGAAATGCAAAATCCTTACTCTGCAAAACTTTCCAAAATTAAATATTTGCACTTTTCTTGATTGGCACAACAGCAATACCCTATAAAGAAATAGTCTTTAAATATATGTGCACACACATATATACACCCACCCCCTTTACACCTCCTCCTTTTTGCATCTGGCCCATGCCCAAAGAGGAAGCAATGTGGCACCAGGATGGTTTTTTTCTGATAAGTGGCATTCTGCAATTTTTGCCTTCTGTGACTCAGAGTAATTTCTTGTTGTAAAATCCCAGTTCCTTCCAAGTAAATTTAGACCACTGCTGTCAGAGATGTGTGTTTAAATGGGATTACAGTATTGGAGGTGATCAGCCTCACTAAAGCTAACTCAGAGCCAAACTGGCCATGGCCACTGGTGCATTTATTGACATTTGCTTTCTTAGCCAAGGATTTTTGGGGTACATTGTTAAAAATAACATTCATTCTCAGGAAGTATTCTCAAGTAATATTTCCACATCCCTCTTTCCTTTTAATTCAGTAGCTGTAACTCTGAGCATCTTCCTCTTTTGCTATTAATATAACTTACCAGATTCTTTGTAATTTGAAGAGTTTTCTTCATTGACCAGGTTCACCTTTCTCACTGGTAAGACAAAGAATAAAAAGAATATTACCAAACTTGCAGAATACAAATATAATATATATAAAATAGCCTCTAGAGCGTTGTGGATTGGCAAGATCCTGAGATGCCCTATCAGAAGATGATTTTTCCCCACTGCAGCCATTCAAGGGTGAGACCTGTCTGTGAGTCAGCAGGAGATGGAGCCCAGGGTGTTTGCAGGACGTGGATAACTCTGAGGCAGCAGGATTTGGGGATTAACACCAACTCTGGTGCATGGTTGGAGGTGTGCTGTGGGCAAGGACAGCTTGATTTCATCTCATGTTGAAAGAGAAGAGCAAGTCAGGGCTCCAGGAGGGCTCTGCCCCTCGAGTGGTGGTTGTTACTCGTGGCTGTGGAAGGAGAGGAGCCACAATTGGCATTTCAGTGATGCAGCTTTTGCTCGTGAAGAGATTTGAATGGTGGGAACTTTAAAATTGTTTTCTCTCTTCCCTGATTTTGGTTTATTCAGAAGGTGAGTTTGGGTAGCTGTAATTTATTATGAGTGTTGTGCAAAATCAGCCTTATTTTTTACGATTCTGAATACCAGTTACAATGCAAAATACACTTTTGGTATTCATGGAGCTTCCCCTCACTGTGAGCAGGGGGGAAAGGCTGGGTGGGACAGGAATCCTTGTGGAAGGATTCCCTGCCCATGGAACAAGATGGTTTTAAGGTCCCTTCCAACCCAAACTGTCTGTGATTCTATGATTTTACTCTTCACAACAATCTTGCTTTATTTTTTAAAAAAAGAAAACGTTGTTGAGGTTGTTTGGGCTTATTGGGCTTTTTTTTTTTCAGCCCCAAAGTAGGTTTTTTAGAGCCAGGGCCAAAGTGCCAAAATAGCACCATCAAGATTCATTCAGTACTGGGACCAGCATTCAGACTGGAAACTGGTTTGTCAGCTTTATGCCAGCTCATTTCACTGCAGTTGGAATGATCCCTGTAATCCCTGATTTTAGACTTATTTTAGCAATGAAGACATGAACAGCATTTTACATGGTCCATAAAACAGACCTGAAATCACTAAAATGGATTTTTGTCCACATTTCTGTGGCTTTGAAGAGAGCAGGATGAAGGCTGTGCCCAAAAGGGGCTGTCCCTTGTGGAGGGAGGGTTTTTCTGCCCATGCTGGTGCTCTGCTCAGAAGAGTTTTGCTTCCTTCTAACAAAAAAAATCAGGGGGAAGAGGTGTTTGTGTGTGGAGAAATTGTGATAGGGTGCAACATGACAAGAGTAGAGTCTTGCTCTTTCCTCTGAGAATGATTATGAGGAGGGTGGAGTTGGTTGCAGTTAATTTTATTGTGTTTTTACAAGTCATACTGTTTTTTTCCCTTCCCTGTTTGTTCTTACTTGATTTTTGGGAGGATTCAGTTTTTGCTGTTTAATTAGTAGGGAAAATATCCTCCTTTTTAGTCTTGCATCATGTGTTAGACCCATGTTCTGACATGGTGGAGCTTGTGGACCCTTTTAAGTACAGCTTCATTATTTATAAGGCATTAATCAGATTAATTTCGTAATAGTTTCCTGCTAATCCTGCCATTGTTCCTTAACTCAGAACTAACAAAAGCACAATTTTAATACCCTTTTAGTTGCTACAACATCCTTCTATTATTGGTTATATTTTTATTAGAGAGTGCTTTCAGACAGTTTCCTAAAATCTTAAAATGATTGAGCAACATCTTAAAATTGCAGCACTTCTACTGCTGATAAAAGGACAATTTCTCAAGCAAATCCCCTTTTTATTAAAATCATGTTTCTTTGTCAGTTGAAATTTGTAGGAGTTTTCCTCTTTCTGTATAATCCCAGTCCTTGTGCCAACCAGATTTTTTTCCTAGCAGTGATATTGAGGCTCACTTAAAAATGTGTTTTGTTTGTGGAAAAGATCCTTTTAGTGATCCTGAGAGCATTTATAGTGGAAGTACTTAGCATACTGACACGCAGCAATAAACACCAAAATCTTAATTACTTGCATATTATTTTGTTATTACTGAAGAAACCTGTATTTGAACATCACTTCCTTTTTCAGTTTGCAAGGGGCCTTATTTCTAAGGACTTTTAATGAGATTAATTATTTTTCTGGTATCTTCTTCAGTTCTGTTTTATTAAGTACTTCTCTGTTATGTGATAAGGAACTGTGCCATTCAGGAAATTTTGTGACATTAGGTAGTTTAAAACAGAAATTTTACCTCATGCTAAATAAAAAAAAAAAACAACAACAAAACTAAATGCCCCAAACTCTGAAAATTTAAAAAAGAAGCCTTAAAAAAGGTTGTCTGACTACCTGCATAGATAACCATTGATTTCATTCTCTTTTAACTGCTGTTCATCTCATCTTCAATAGCATTTTAACTACTCCAGTAAAAATGTATATATAATTACAAAAAGGCTATTATAATCAAAATGTAAAGGTCATCAAGCAGATTTCTGAATTGATGTCACTAAAAAGTATATTATTTTCAATGATGATGAAAACTTATTCTTTCTGTATCGAATGGGATGATGGGAACTGCTTCCATGCAGCTGGAGAAGAGACTTTTCCTCAATAACTCCCCATGATAGGGTCATTGAGGTGTCAATTACATATTTTATATTTATAGAGCACTTTTCTTCAGGAAAGATTCCTAAGTGGCCTCCCAGGTCCTACCCACACACACGAGAGATTAATGTATTATTTTTTCCTTTTGAAATTGGAGTGGCTCAGAAATAGCAGATATGTTCTGTTGAATGGATCCTCTTTTCACAAAAAGACTGGCTGAGATAGGAGGGGGGTGTAGACATTCCTGGAGTTGTCACATGAGGTTTTTTCCTGGATTATGTATACTGGGATAATTTGCTTTCTGGGAAGGGGCTTCCCTGGAGCAGTGACCCCACCTCTGATTTCACTTATTCTTGATATTGATTAGGGAGAGAATGAAACTTTAGAAAGCACTCAGGACTCCTTTCATTAAGAACTTATCTCCCTTTAGAAATTGTATCTAGATTCTGCTTTGAACCAACAAATAAAACATCATTTTCCAATCCCATCTTGTGTGGGTCTCAAATTTGGGTGGGTTTAATTTCTCTGAAGGAGCCTCACAGAAATGGGCATGAATTCAAGGAAGGGTGTTTTTCCTTGATTTTAGGCATAGACTCATTATGTCAGCAGTAGTTCCTGATCTGTTAGAGTTTGGTTTGTGTGGAAAACCCACAGCAGAAGTGCTGATCTCTTGGAATTAAGTTTTCAGTGCCTCCAGTGCTCAGCTTGGCTAAGACACGTGATTCATGGTGGGGTTATTTTTTTCTAAGCTTTTTCTCTCTAGAGTCTTTGAATTTTATAAGTGGACAAGTCTTCAGTGTCTCTCCTTGGCCATCAATTCATTGCCTAAAAAAGTTCTTTGCCTGTTGCATTTGACATGGCCCAAAGTTGCAGATGTTCGTGTTAGACCTGGCTGCGTTGTGCTGGCAAGTAAAGCACTTCCCTACACACATGGAAGATGCATCTATTAATATTCTGTAAATCAGGGTGTTTTTTTTGTTCTTCAGGATCAAAGCTGGTGTGTTAGCAAAAACTTCAAATTCTTGTCTTTTAACCTGCTGGTTAGTTTGTAGGGGTATCTATTCCTTCCTGCTTTATTGCAGCGAGCTACATGTATCTCTCATGCTCATTTTAAGATCACAAAGCAGCTGTTGTTATTCTGGCATTTAAAAACATCTTGAATGCTTTTTTCTTAGAAGGAAAAAGCAGGTAAATTAGTTTTCTTCACAGCAGCATTAGCAGTACCACCAAAGGTGCTGAACAAGGTCCTGGAAAATGCAGAAAACCCAGATAGCAAAGAGGTCTTGAGAGAAAGGAGGGAAGGCAGGTAGTTCTGGGAGACTGCAATTAGGGCAGATTTTATAAATATTTTTGTGTTCCTAAAAATGCCAGCATGTATTATCTCAGTCAGTGATGACAATAACCAGCAGCAGGGGAGAGAGGAAGGGGAAGTGGAGAGAATTAATACACAGCCCAGTAACGTGGCCATTCCTCTTTTTGTACAAGCAGCTGAACCAGAATAAAGAGTCACAGCCTCTCTTTTCCCAACAAGGAGCTGGTAGGAAATTACAGCTTCATATAGGAAACCTCTAAAAGCCATGATGTCCTCAGATTTTCATGTTAAATCATGCTCAGAATTTTATAGTTTGGAGTGAGTTCTGTGCCAGGATCCCAAAGACTTCGTTGTGAAAGCAGCTTTGCAAAGTGAGAGAGGAGGACGGTCCCAGCTTCATTATGAGCCTGTTGCAAGGAGCTGCTTTGTTTTTATGGCTTTGTGTGCTTTGGCTCCAAATGCAGAAATCAAACAGGAGCTTCTTCTTGTCATTATACAGGTGCATGAGTCAGCTTCTTGTTTAGTTTTTCACAGCCTTTTCAATTGTGCAATAAAATCATGTTGAAATGCATTTTAGTTGTTTTTCTAAAAGCTTCACTTTGGTTGTCTCTAAAATGATTCAATTTTCCATCCACACAATGAGAATTATCTGTGAGGGGTTTATAGCCTGGCAGCCAGATTTACCAAAGCAGGACACGAGGTGAATTCTGGCCATGCAGCTTCAGGTCAGATCAAGTTAATGGAAACAAAAAGTGACCAAGGAAGCCCTTTGTGCAAATATTGTTATTCCTAATCCCTACTGTAATTCCTAACATTGTCCTGGGAGATGTGAACACTGACTAGAAAGGTCTGGGTTGGAAGCAAAGGAAAATGAGATTTTTGCTGTTTAGGATGTCCCCACACTCTACAAGGAAATGAATTATCCACACCAGAGTAGAAAACCATGTTTTATGTAATGTAGATTAGAGGTGTTTTTCTTCTACTTAAAAAAACCCAAAAAAACCCACAAAACAACAAAATCCACCTTTAAAATAGACCTGGTGGGTTTTTTCTTTTTCTTGTTTTTTTCCTTTTTTTTTGTTTAAGACCACATTCCTTTTGCCCCGAATGGAACATTCCAAAAGACGTGCCTAGA